ATATATATATATAAGAATTTTTTTTTATTTATAATAAAATAAACCTCAAATAATTTGGGGGTTAGATATGTAAATACATAGTAATTGGATGGTATGTATGTAATCCCATATTATTATTTAACTTAATCTTGTTTTCTTCATTAAGGGAATTGTAGATTTGTTTGTGCAATAGATGGAGTCAAGGCCAATGCCATATTGCCAAGTTGAGCATGTGAGAACTTGCCTTCGAAAATAACATTTATTTATTTATTTATTTATTTATTTATTTGAAATATTAGAAACAAAATCATGAATGTATTGTGTGCCATCCAAGAACCATTTGTATTATGCTGAATTATAATAATCAAATTAATAACAAATTTATTATGATAGTGTTGACATAATTTCTTATTTTTCTTATATTATCCATTTAGATTTTTTTTTTTAAGTATGCCAAAATAGTTCCTAATTATTTACATGGGGTCGTTTTAGTCTTAGAGTTTATAGAAGTGTCAAATTATTTCTCAGACCCTTTCAATAGTCACTGAATTAGTCTTCATGAAAGATTGTTAGAGCTCATCTCAGACCCTTTACATAGTGACTGAATTAGTCTTCATGAAAGATTGTTAGAGCTCAATTTTAAAATGGTTGGAAATTATTTTGACACTTCTATAAACTCTTCGCAACTCCACAAATTTTGCACAATATTCTCACTACGAGAAAGCCTTGCTTCTCTAGGCTTCACATTATATAGCTTTTTTTTCGCAAATTCTCAATTGTTTCATGGTGGCACTTGTAAATACATTGATTCCGTATCTCACAAACATTAGCTGTGTGTTAGATTTTGTAAATATCAATGTTTCGAGTGCTATATATGCAATTATCCAAAAAAAAAAAAAAAAAAAAACTTTGTATTTCCCACTACTTACATTACATCAGAGATTTTTTTTGCAATTTAAATATTTATTTTATCAAAATTTATGTTTGTTTATATATTATTTAATTGAATAATTTTTGTTACAAATTGACCAATTCAGGGCCCCAAGCAAAGCAAAGAGGTTGCTTAAGAGTATTTGGTGAGAATATGCCTCTAGAATGTTATGGGGACAAGCTCTTAAATTATTGATGAAGAGCATTTACATACATACCACCTAATTCCTACATATTTATATATCTAACACCTAAACCATAGTTTTTATATTTATACAACCCAAATATTTCATATCACTTGAGAAATATCACCACTTTAACTTTTTAAAAATGAAATATAACTTTTTGAGAATAGGTAAAGTTGCACATATTTATAAAAATTGAAGTTTAGGAGTTAGATATGTAAATACATAGGAATTGAGTGGCATCCATGTAAATCTTCTAATTGATAAATGAACAAACATTTTTTTCGTTAATGTTTTTTTATTAATATTTACATTTATACATAACATATTCAATTCTATTTAATGCCATTTAGCCATTTATCATTGAATCAACAATACAATCATTTACTATCCACCATTTTGCATTTGCTTGGATTAACCACACCTTTATTGATGTTAGATTTAGATATGTTTGGAGTTGTTGTAAGTTTTTTAATTGGCGGTTGTAAAGTTGTGGTTAAAAAAAATATTTTTTAAGAAACTGCGGTGAGAATTATAAATATATATTTCTTTAAAACAAATTAGTCGATTGTTTTCTTACAGTCGCCACAGTTCAACATGTCAGGGTGAAGAAAGTAGTTTACCACCAAATAAGTTTTTAGAAAGTAACATGAAAGTAGATTCCAAAATAAAACTATGGTAGTAGTCTGAAACTCAAAGCGGACAGAAAACTATCTCAAACAGATCCTTAGTCGCAAATTTTTGCATATTATTGTCCATTTTAGCTATGATGTTAATTATTGGTTATAAATAGCCTCTCCTTAACCTCCTAAGAGATCTTTTTGGACATGTTTCCATCTTGCTGGTGTCGTTGAGATTGAGCTAAGATTGAGTGAGCGGAGAGAGACTTGAGAAGTTTTCAATATTTCTGTCTCTTGATGTAGCATAAATCATCCTTCTTTAGGAGTGGATGTAGGTTAAAGTGCCAAAACCATTTAATATTTGTGTCATATTAGTTTCTTTTTTCCTGCATATTCTCTCCTCTATTCTCTTTTTTTTTTAGAATGTTTAGACAAACCTTCTTTTTTATTAGGAAACAAATTAACTCTGGGACTCTACCAATTTATGTCTTCTTATTGAATCAACCAAAACTTGACAAATCCTATTAATTTTCTTCTCAGTCATTTCCCAATAATCAAAACTTTTTAGTGCTCTTATTAAGATTTTATCAGTTAGTTAAAAAATTTATAGACAAACATCCACCATCAATTTCATACTCTATATTAATTGTCAAAAATGACAGCGAGTGCCTCTCATAACCTGCTAAAGAATTCTTCATTATGAAAAATTCACATTCTTTTACAAGAAGATAGGCATTCTACTCTAGTTAACTCTTCATATCATTATACCACCCCCTGTCATGATTTCTAAGTCTACATGATGTCAACTCTATCTTAAAATGCTATCCTTAAATCATATATTCCCTAATGACATAGTTAATCATCACCAATCCCACTTACTTTTCCATTGACCTCCGAGGCAAGCAAACAATTAAGAATTATTGTGCCACTATCTGATTGGCAGTTACGATTCTTTTACAAGAAGATAGGTATTCTACTCTAGTTAACTCTCCATGTCATTATACCACCCCCTGTCATGATTTCTAAGTCTGCATGATGTCAACTCTATCTTAAAATGTTATCCTTAAATCATATATTCCCTAATGACATAGTTAATCATCACCAATCCCACTTACTTTTCCATTGACCTCCGAGGCAAGCAAACAATTAAGAATTATTGTGCCACTATCTGATTGGCAGTTACATTTTCGTCAATCACTTTCTTTTTATCATGATTCTAAAAGAGTTTTTATCTATAAAATTTAAGATGTGAGCATTATACATTACAAAGGGTTGAAAACCCTATTACTTTACCACCATTAAAGATGTAATGGCTTTGGTGCAAACATAAGGAATAAAAAAGTGGGTTTTTAGTATGGTAATGATTATTGAAAATTTCATTAACAGGTATGTGTGTGTCAACCTAAAGATGGTTAATAATTTTCCATAAAAGAATCATGCCCTCTAATATATTTCCATTCTTGGATTTGTGTTTGGATGCTTATACCTCAACTTTTCCCATTATTGGATTTGTGTTTGTAACAAAATGTTCTTGAAAAGTTTAAATTATTGTTAAGTGGAAGGATCAAAAAATTTATACTAATATAAAAAATGGATTTCAGGATTATATTTTCTAGCCACAAACTTGCATATTAAATAAAGAAAAAAAAGATAAATTTGACCAAAGAAAATAAGTATGTCTATTTTATCTCCTACTAAATAAATGAAAGTCATTCAGATTTAATTTTTTTCTTAAACTTGATGTTCTAATAAATAGAAATTAATTTTCTAATTCATAATTAACTGATTAAATTTAATCAAATCAAGAACATTTTGTTATTTTTTATCATCTTTCATTGAAAGAATCTTTCTTTGCCTAATATTATAATCTCTTAATTTATTTTTAATAAAATTGTGTAGGCTATGATCAAGAAAGGGAAAAAAAATTACAATTTATCAAAATTGAGGGTGAGAATAAAAAGAATATAGCAAGCAAAAAAAGCTACTCTGAGAATGTCTAGCATCGGTTGGTTTTCTTCAAGTGTTATGACCAAAATGATAACTCGTCTTCTTTTGGCTCCACACAAGCTTTGTTGAGTCTAAAATTGAGCTCCAATTTAATTTTTTTATTCTTCAAGAAAAAATAAATTCCTACAAACTTCTAGAATTATGCTAAAAAATTATAAATTTGTGGGATTATGATGTAAATTTTAATTGATTCACAATAAATGTTAATTTACTCTAACTATATATATATATATATAATAGGATAAAAATCCAAAGGATAATTCCTCTAATGCATTAATGACACCCAAATTAATGGTGGGATATTTTCCTTCTAAAAAACTAACAAAAAAAAAATGAAGAGAAGTAACAAAAAGGACCAAAAGATACAATAATCGAAAGAGACCTGATACAATAATCGACCTCTCTTCTCAATCTAATAAGAAGCCAAAAAGCCCTCAATTTCTTAACCCTTTCTCCAACAATTGAAAGCCAACGAACTTCCTCCTCTCCTAACCCCGACATGAGAACCTAAAGTTGTCACCTTTGTCCCCAAGCCCCAACCTTTTTCATCATATTCCATCCATGGCGCCCATTTCGACATCTACGTCGTCGGAAAATTGCGGGAAGGCGATGATAGCAGCAGCAGAAGGGCCATCGCCACCGGTGTCTGTCTCCCCTGGCCGAAACTCCGGCGAGGGGTTGAGATTCTGCAGCCTCCGGGGCGTTAGGTGGAGGATTAATCTCGGAATATTGCCTGCTTCCCAATCAGCTTCCATCGAAGATCTGCGACGCGTTGCCGCGGATTCTCGAAGGAGGTGTGATAATAGCCCAAACTTCCCCATGGATATTTAGGGTTTCTGGCAAGATTCCCTTTTTTTGTCTTTTTTGCAAACTTTGCACTTTGGTGGCGTGGTTTTTTTTTTTTTTGTGATTTGAGGATTGTTTAGGATCTAATGCTTGATTCAAGGATAGGAATCCTTTTTTTTTTTTATCTTTTTCGTGAATGGAATGTGATGTTAATGTTAGTTTCTATTTCCTTAGTTTGAGTCTTTGTTCTATCCTTTGCAAGTGGAGGCATAAATTTTGACTTGTTGAGTTTCTCCTCTTTATATGTGGTTTGGAGAAAATAGTTGGGATATTAAACATTTTTTTTTCTTGGAAGCTTGACTTTGGTTATGTATATAATCCATCTTTAGAATCCCAAATTACTTTTGCAGTCATGGTTAGATTAGAGTTCTCATATCTCATCCTCATATGGTGTTTGTTATAATGCTCAAGTGCATCTAATTATCATTCTTTTCATTTACTACATATAATTTCATCAATTTTTAACTTTAAACTTCCATTTAGAAATAAATACAAAGTGAGGAAGTCTATCTACAAAAAAAATAAATACTTAAGCAGATGTTCTTTTGATGAAATCTTGGCATGGTTACCTTCCTAACAACAATTACTATTTCAAAAAGCTTCATCAGATGCTTTTAAATCTTATGAAACAATGTGGTTTTTAACTAAGGATATGTTTTGGATGGTTTATTTTTACTATATAGCTTGCTCTTGGTCCATCCAGTACAATTTTCAGTATAATTTGGTTTGAATATTTGAGTTAAATCTATCTAAAATGTAATTTTAAACCTTGTAATTGTATTTTGTGAAAAGATAAGGTGCTTTCTGTATTAGACCTCTCTTGTTTTTTACAGTTATGCAAGCTTGAGACGCCGACTGCTCATAGATCCCCATGCTTTGAAGGATGGAAATAGATCGCCTAATTTGGCCATCGATAATCCTCTATCACAAAATCCAGGTATCTTTACTAATATTGTTGCAAAAAGGTGTCAAATTAGTCCTCAAACTCTTTTAATATTGGTTGGAATAGTTTTCTAAGAAGACTATTTTAGCTCCTCTTAAATGAGTTTGGGATTAAATTGACACTTTTATAGACTCGGGGACTAAAATGACCCCCCCGACAAACCAAGAGGTCATTTTGACACTTTTCTCATTAATTAACTATTATGTTGCTCCCATCTTAAACCAGATCTAATAGATAGAAAATTTATCCTTATCAAATGTAGATAAGAATACATGTTTTTAATGTCGAACTTAGAAAATTTGATTTTTTTTCTTTTTCAATGAGTTACTTTGAACAAATCATTAATGCTCAGCACACAGACACTTGGTGATCTTGTTCGTAAAATCTTCTTGCAGAGAGCATGTGGGGCCGCTTCTTTCACCATGCCGAGATTGAGAAAATGGTCGAGCAGGATTTGTCGCGGTTGTATCCAGAAGATGGAAGCTACTTTCAGACCTCTGCATGTCAAGGCATGCTGAGACGAATCTTATTATTGTGGTGCTTAAGGCATCCAGAGTGTGGATATGGCCAAGGCATGATTTTGTCAACTATTTCTATTTGATGCAGATACATATATCTTTTGGGGAATTTACAGGCATACCCTTCAATTCTTGTGTATTTACATATATAACAACTTAACATTCCTATTCACATGCTTATCACTCTAATCTTTAACATCACATCAAAAATACTGGCATCACTATCTTTTTAAGTGAAATAAAAGTGAACCACCTTCTTATGCATAGATCTATGACATCAAGGTGTTATAAATATCAGACTTTTGGTGTTAGATATGTAAATACGAAAGAGTTGGGCGGTATGCTGGTGAATTTTCCTTCATTTTTCTTCCAATATATTGTACCTACTATCAAAGCTAATCAAACAATTTATTCTGCAGGAATATCAGGAATGCATGAACTGTTGGCTCCTTTAATATATGTGTTGCATGCTGATCTCAATCACCTTTCGAATGTTCGAGGAATCTATGTGGACTACTTTAGCGACGAATTTGATGAATTGTCCTACCCAATGAGTGGCATTTTATCTCATAATACAGCGAAAAAGGCCAAAAGTTTGGATTTAGGTGACAAAGGTGATAACTCTTATCACGGAAATGGGTCGAAAATTATGGGCCTTGATGAACTCGATCCAGATGCGAGGGACCTTTTCTTATTGAGTGATGCCTACGGTGCAGAAGGAGAGCTGGGTGTGGTTATATCCGAGCGATTCATGGAGCATGATGCATATACCATGTTCAACGCATTAATGAGTGGCGGCGCTCACGGGGTGGTTGCCATGGCGGACTTCTTTTCTGTCTCTCCCGCCATCGAATATAGCACGAGCATACCTCCGATAATCGAGGCCTCATCCGCACTATATCACTTATTGTCTGTCGTGGACTCGTCTCTTCATAGTCACCTTGTTGAGCTCAGGGTTGAGCCTCAATATTTTGCACTCCGATGGTTGCGTGTTCTATTCGAACGAGAGTTTTCTTTGAATGATTTGTTAGTCGTTTGGGATGAATTGTTTTTTTCATCTAATGATTCGTGTATGGAGAATGACGAATGTCACTTTAGGGTTTTGTGCTCGCCTCGTGGAGCTTTTATTGCAGCAATGGCGGTATCGATGCTTCTGCATGTTCGATCATCTCTGTTGGCGACCGAGAATGCGACCTCGTGCCTCCAAAGATTGTTGAACTTCCCGAGGAATATAAATGTGGTGAAACTGATAGAGAAGGCGAGGTCTTTTGAAGCCCTCGCCTTGGAAGCAAACATATTAGCAGCATCATCTTCACAGGCTAAAAATAGGTCATTTTCAGCAACTAGAACTGTTTCGGTAGCTCCTAAGGCACCTATTAGAACTTTACCTGAGAGCTATTGGGAGGAGAAATGGAGAGTGCTTCACAAGGAAGAAACACTTCAGAAGAGTGATTTGAGCAAAGGGAGGAAGATCAAGGAGTTGTTGGGAAAGAAACTAGGCTTATCGAGGACAGAATCAGATCCTTCTCCTGCAAAAAAGTTTAGTGGGAAGATAGCAGCCGGGTCTTCTATCCGGCGCAGATTATTTGATGATTTGTCTCAAGACTTTAAGCCTGTAGACGATGTGGATCACGGTATTTTACCGTGTCAGGAGTCTCCTCATTCGAATGAAGAGGCGAGCAACCGTTTATTCGTAGATGCAAGCGATCAAAATACCGCGAGGAGCACGGAGGAGCCATGTGATGCATGTGATATGAATATATTGAGAACAGCGGAATGTGGAGCTGAAAATTTTTCATTAAGCACAGAAAATTCTTCGATGTCTTCAATGTCTACAGCTCCTACCGGTGATGGGAATGATGCCGAAATTGAATCTGAGAAGAGTAGTCTCTGTTCGGATTCATCAACTGAGGAAAGTGATGAGAAAAATAACAATGCAGAGGAGGAAAGCAGTAGTTATTCAGAGAATCCGGCACATAATGAACCAGAAGCCAGTGCTGCTGGTGTCAAATCAGAACCAAGTAAGAGTGATGATGTCGCAAGTGTGCCAGAAATGAAGGAGAGAAAACCATTTTCTGGCAAGTTTCAATGGTTTTGGAAGTTTGGAAAAGGAAATCAAATTGAAGGGAACTTAGAAAGAGGAGCAAATGATGCCAAGACCCAGCGATCATCTATCATTCCGAAAGAAAATGTTTGCCATGAAACCTTAGGAACTGCAGCAGACCGGGGCTGCTGTAACGACAGCTTGAAGATAGAAGCTGCGGAGAAGAAAGCGATGGGTACACTTAAGATTCTCGGACAATCCATGCTTGAGAATATTCAGGCAAGTGTGTTTTGCTGTTTAATTTCTTTTCGGTTTACTCGCCTTACTTTGATTTTGTTGAATCAAAGGAAAAAAAGAAATTGCTACTTTGGCCTCATTTTCTTATCACAATGTCATCCAAATGATTGTCAAATGTGTCAAATAAATCATATCTCCTAACAATGCTTAGAGATTTATGTTTCATCCGCTGATTTTTGTTTCAGGCCATTGAAGCTGTTTTCCAACAAGAAAGAGGCCAAGCGGGCGTCGGTCTTGGCGGCGGGGGCAAAGGCCAAGCTACAGCCTTTGCAGCTCTAAAGGAGCTTAGAAAGGTTAGCAATCTTTTGTCAGAGATGTGAGTCATGGCTTTCTTCTTATTTTTATGAATTTATCATTCTTCTCTTATTTAAATTATTCAACCATAAAAGCTTCTCGGCTTCCTTGTTTTTTCTTGCAAAGATATAATTGTGTTGTAAATATGGGTTGCAATTTATGAGGGGGAGAGGGGGGTTATCGTTAAGTCCATTCTTAGATTATATTGTAACTTGGAAACAAGAGGCAGGAAGCAGGTTGCTGCTGCTTACTGGATGTCTGTGGAACAGCACTCAGCTATTTTGTAATTAATGTATTACTTGTTCGGCAATAAGAGGCAAAAGTGAAATTTCATATTTTTGGCAATTTTTTTATGTTTTCTTTTGAACTTTTAGTGGATAGATCCATTTATTCGTCTTCAAAGATCATAAATTTTGAATGAGTGAGGATTAAAGTGCTGAAAAGTTTTTTTTTTTTTGAATTAAAATTTAGATATATAAATTCATAAGAAGTGTATAACAAGTGTGTAAATCTCCCACTTATATGTTGTTTGAAGATTGTAAAGGGCAAAGCTGATTAGTGGTGGCGAACAGCTTACGGTCTGTTTGGGGAAGCTGCAGCTTATTAATAAGCTATTGTGGATAAGCTGACCGTTTATTTTTTACAGTTTTAAAACAGTTGTGATTCATTTAATTGGGCCTGCGGTTGTCTAATTTTTTTAATAGTTGAGAATTTATTCTGTAAAAATATATATAAATTAAATATCATATTTTAATAGTGGGCCCAATGTTTCTGGATAGAGTGCTGATTTGTGGAGGAAAGCTAAAGAAAATGTTTTTTTTTCAAAACTGATAATCTCTTATGATGAACTAATTAAAGTGGAAAAAAAATATATTTTATTTAAGAAGAGAACATCCAACACAGTTCTTATATTCATGAGAAATTCAACGAAGAACTGACAACCATAGGTTTTTTAATTTTTAAACTACTAGGGCATTTAACCACCTACCACCCATTCTTATGTAATTAATTACACATCTAACATTTAAATTTTATATTTTTACATTTTTTCTCTCTTAAAATTTTCATTAAAATGAACATTCTCATGCTTAAATGATATATATATATATATATATATATATGCATAGAGATTTATGCTTTAGGTATGTGGACAGATAGGAATTGAGCCGAATGTATTCAAATGTTAACTTCTTTTCTCCATTAAAAGTTTATTTTTTAAGGAAATGTGCAAACATACAAATTTTGCATATTACTATCTTAGCAATGCTTATAATAAAGTTGTTGTGTGACTTATATATATATATATATATATATATCTAATTTCCACCCCAATTTTGTAAGAGTAATTTTTTCCATTACAACTTTACAATCACATTTTTTTTAAAAAAAAAAGTACAACCACCCCAAACAGGCCTAAAAAACTTATCCAAAACAGATAATAAAATACCATAAAACTCTCCTTGGGCAAAAGAAGAAAAAAGCTACAAAAGCCCAAATTGCACGGCCCATGACATTTTGTCCAAAATAACATAATAATAGTGCTGCAGCAAAAACAAACAATGCATTTTCTGTGTTTCTCCACAACCAAATCTTTTGCACATCTGACCACCAAGGAAGCCATGATAAAAGGTGAGCAGCAATGATGGGTTAGTTAGTAAACCCATGGAATGACTCTGTAAGGTACCTTAGTACAGTAATTTTTCCAGTATTTTCCATACCTGAAAACCAAATAGCAATGTAAACAATACATTAAATAAATTACTGTAAATCATCCAGAAAAAAAAAAAAAAAAAAACTTCTTGCAGGTTTGGTTAAGTGTATGATCCAAAAACAAATTGCATAAAATTTGATAATTACATTTATAACATTTTGGTGACATAAACCTATGCATAAAAATGTGTATTTCACTTTTAAATCATGGATGGAAAGCCGAATCAATAATAATGACGGTACTTTTGATGTGATGTTAAAGTTTTGAGTGTTGTAAATATATACATGTAAATATGAATGTTCAGGAGTCATATATAAAACCTGTGTGGTATGTAAATGCCCCTAATATTTATCATTACATTTGAATTTTCGATTCTATTTCAATTGATCTTTGAACCTTAAATCTCTCTTTTCGTCAGTTATTTCTCCAATCTGGTTCTGAAAACTCCGGCATGAATAATACGCTTTTATGCATAGAATGATGCAGTAAAGTACAATTGCTTACTTGGATGAACACCGGTCATCATCCCTCTTGGCGCGATCCAAGAGGAGAATTGTAAGAAAGATGACGTAGAAGTAGGGCAAGAACTGGAAGCGCAAGGAAAAGCAGTTAGACGAATCAAAAAAGCAATATTATCAAGATGAAAATATTTACATTTCAACAGAAAATATTACATGATTAAAGAGGGCGGGAACAGTCCACATAAACGCAGCTAGTATCTCCGGTATGTAGTGAAAATGACGAGCTAAACCCCACCTGATTGAGAAATCATATGAAGTTCGAGCATTTCATTCAAGTTTATCTTAACCATAGTTGCAAGAAGCTTGCATTCATTCAATTGTACTAAGTGATTCTGCCAATGATGTATAATTGAAGTATTATATCAGAAAAAAAAGGAAGATTTACATACATACCACTCAATTCTTATAATATATTTACATATCAAACACCAAAACTTCAATTTCTACATATACCTTAACTATGCATGAAAAGGTGCACTTTACTTTATAAAAGTCATAGTGGTATATTTCATGTGCTCTGAAATATTTGGGTGGTATAACTGTAAAAAGCAGAGTTTAGGTGTTAGATATGTAAATACATAGGAATTGGGTGGAATAGGAGACTGGAGACTCACCAGCCAGAAGTCAGGAGGAGGCTATTTTTTGTTTCTCCCTTTGAGGTAACATAAGTGGCTTCTATCTGTGACAAATTTATAAGAATTAACAAAAAGGCATTAATATAATGGAGTTCAGTTCTTTAATGAGAGGACTTGAACCTTCGATGGAGGCCGGCCCCAGATCAAACATTTCCCATTGGTTTTTCGAAATTCTTGCCGTTGCCTGTCACAATCATAATTGATATATATGCAGAGAAGTCCAGCCAGAAGAATAAATATTGCAAGCTGCAAAATAGAGAGTTTAATATAATGCAACAGTTACCCTCCATCAAATCTATACTGGTTCACAAAAAATAAGTTGTTAAATAAATATAGGGGCATTTACATACATACCACCCAATTCCTATATATTTCCATATCAAACATTTAAACTTTCCTTTTTTACATTTATATCATTCAAATCTTTCATATCAAATAAGAATTACCATTATGTTAACTTTTGAAAAGTGAAATACATCTATTATGCATTGGGAAGATGGTATGTATGCACAAATTGAAGTTTGGATGTTAGATTTGTAAATAAATTAGAATTGAGTGGTATGTAGATAAATCTTACAAAAATCTATATTCGACTCAGAATTAACTGTACAATTGATGCAGTAGTAGAGTGCTAAGTTTAATAACAGGAAAATTTTCAGAAACCTTAAAAAAATTAAAAAATTTTAAAAATAAAAAATAGTCAATTTGAAATATATTATACCTGGGTGCCTAGATTCACTGGATGATTTACAAGATACATGCCAGGAGAAGTATAGATTGATGGCACCCACACTAAGCATCCCCAGCAAATGTAGAATCCAGCTGAAGACCAACAGATTGATTGAAACACAATTTAACTAGAACAAGCAGTATCACATACTATGGCGGAGGATGAGGCTTGAAGCACATCTTAGCCAGAAATTTACTCATGGCGTCTCAGGAATTAAAGCAAACGGAAAGCCGAAGATATTTTCTTCTATAAACTTCAAACAAAAACGCGACTGATACCACAGTTCAACCAAAAAACAATAAAAAAATCCAATATTATTGCTAAATTCAATAGGGGATCACAACCAACAAACGAAAATAGCAAATAACAACAAACACAACACATACGAAATCTGAAATTGTAACAAACACACTCAAATAAGGTGAATCTCGGGGTGGTTGTGATAATTGATAAGGGTTTCGAAGGTGGCGGGATGGTGGACAAAATGGTTGACAAACAGAAAACAGCAAGGTAATGATTTCCTAGGATCCAGCTAGCAAGCATGCAGCAAGTACCAATGTGGAACAGCAATCCGAAATGATGGCAGCAAAAAGAGATGGCTGCAAAGCAGTGGCAGCAAAGATGAAGTGCTGGAACGGTGATGACAATGAGGATGGAGAGCTGTTTAGGGGTGTTGGCAGCAAGGAGAAAGAGGAAATTGGGTTCTTGGAAGGCGGTCTCAAGTCGGAAGGGAGGAAATGTGGTTTGGAATGTGGCGGCAAGGTGGACTTTAAAGAATGACAAATCACCATGGCAGGAACAAGATAAAGCCTGACTACCACTCAACCCAAGGATACAACCTAGAAGAGAAAACTTGAGACACTAGCTGCTGTCCCGAACAGAAACATGAAAAAAACTCCCCATCCAACTCTTAATACAACACATCTATAGGAAAAGTCTACAAAGGAAAGAAAGAAAGAAACTTGTTAAAGAAATAAAGAAAATAGGCACCGCGTTCAGTTTGCCTAACGCGATCGTGAATCCCGCATGCACTCGCTCTATGGAACAGTACTGTAGCTGAAATCACTGAATCATGTGCATGCGGGATAGCGGGTCCCGTGCGGGAAACTCCAGCATCAATAAGATTATTTCATGGAAAAAGAAACATACCACACAACTCTTATATATTTACATTATCTAAAACCCAAACTTTCATAGTTACATACATAACACTCAAATCTTTGACATCATTTCAAAAATACCACTATCAATAACTTTTTAAAGGTGAATATACATTTTCATGCATAGCTTTTTAATACCAAAGTTTTATAAATGCAGGTATTAAACTTTAGGTGTTACATGTGTAAATGCATAAGAATTGTGTGGTATGCAATACTTGAATCTAACTTCTCATGATCTTGAAAGAAAGAAAAGAAAAAAAAGGTGGCTTTCGAAGTCATGTGAGTCCCAACCAAAATCCCCATCAAGATGTTAAAAGGTGGACCTATTGAAGAACAGCAAGTGTACTGCAATCATGGGCGGTTGGATCATGAAAGCAACGGCTGATGATCTGGCCTCTTGAACAATATTTTCTTACAAAAAAGGTTTTGTTTCATAATATTTCTTATTATTGTATTCCTCACAAAGTATGAAATACAACCATAACTTATTTGCAAATTTTAGACCTTTCATGATGATAATTGGGAGTAGGTTAAAACCATTAAAAAAGAATTGAAGATAACCTTTTCTAATTAATTTAAAATAGCAAAATAGAACATGCATCAATGTGATTTGGATTTTATATTGAATACTACAAGGTCATATTACGTGTTGCAAAATTTCATTTAAACGTGTCATGTAAATTTATTGATCATCTACATCATGTTAACAAACATGCACATGCGGCTTTGACGTTGTCTTATTTGTTATTTTTTGTAATATACATATGCACACATGGGGCTGTCAAAATGGCTGGTTGTTCGCGAACAGCTCGTGTTTGGCTAGTTAAGAAGTTCATGTTCGGCTTCTTCGCTGAGTTAACAAGCCAAAGACGAACAAAGATTTGTATGTTCATGTTCAGCTCGTTTTGACTCGAAACATTACTCATCAATTATATATACATACATAATTATATATATATTAAAAAATTAATTGATTACAAGGCTACGCAGATTTATAATCAATTTAAAGCATTAATTATGAAACAAAATAAAAAATATTAAATTAGATTCAAATGCTGTTTTAATATAAACAATAAATTTTAAATCTCGCCCCAACCTTTAACATCTTATGTTTACGTGATTAGGGTTGTCAAAACGACTTTTTGTTCTTGAACAGCTCATGTTCGGCTCGCCTAGGAAACGAGCCGAACAACGACACAGACACATTTTTTGAGCTCGAAATATAAACAAGCTGAGCCTGGGCTCGCTCGTGTTTGGCTCATTTACACCCTTATACACACACATGTATATACATACACATGCCAACAACTACTAACAAATATAAGAAAATTTAGATGTTACACATATAAATATATTATAATTCTATGGTATTTATGCAAATGAGATTATAATATAATTAATACAAATAGCCGTCTAATAAAAGATTAAGAAAAAAGTATTTTGCTTTGTCTGTTCTCTAATCTTTCTTGGTAGATTGAAAAGTATTGATAACTCCTCATAAGCCCCAACACTTGGACCGCTAAACATGGCAGTTTAATCCATCAACAAGCCTGCTTTTATTAAACAATACTTCTAATCCTCAGTTAACAAGGAAAATGACAATGCCACGCAAACTTTATGTCTTCTGTTCTAAACTTTTTTAATGGTTAATGATAGAATGTAAAATATATGAATAGGCAGGAGATTCCCTTGTATCTGACCTTGATTTTTAATACAATAAATTAGATGAAGAACAAGTTTATATGATGTAAGAGGACAGCAAGGCTGGAAGGTCTGGATGGATTTAGATTTATTTATTAGAACTGATTAGAAGAGGAAAAAGAGTACCAACTATTTTATTAAATGAAGCATCTTTAAATGTAGAAATTCATCAAAATTGTTTACATTATTTGTCTAATATCTTAAGAAGTATGTTGCATAATATAAAATTAAGTCCATATGTAACATTCATAATGAAATGAAGTTTACTGAGTTTTTCTTGACGTTAAACTTTGATCTTCCGTATTGCAATGCTTTAGGCCTCTATCTCTTCTTGCCATGATCTCTCTGGAATGATGATGAAATTTGTTGTCTAACTTTTTCTTTGACGAATTGGGTTCTTTGATAAATCGATGGTAGATTTATGGTGACAAAATTTTCACATGATCTTTTTTTTGCGCAACTTTTAGATCATGTAAAATCTTTCATAATCATATCTTATATAAAGATGTAGATGTTATAATAATATATTTTTCTTTGGTGCTTGAAGTTATTGTAGTATATTGCTTCTTGGATGCCCATGATATAGCTTTAGAACAAAGGCTAAAGAGACCTAGTCCTGGTCTTCCTATTAGAAATGTAATCTAAGCGGGTGCTAAGAATATTTTTGAACTTGTAATTATTAACTTTATGTTTATGATGTCAAAAATTTTAGTGCATTGAATATATTGTATTTCTCATCTTTTTTGTGCCTTGACATTAGCTTATATTTTGCATAAATGTTAACATGATGGTCATTCCCAATATTGATATATTGTATTTTATTTCTTGGATAAATGAAATCATCAAGTATGTTTCTAATAAACTTATGATCTACATTTTCCCTCGTCAATCTGTTACTAAGCTCACGATTTTACAAGCAAAATTTATTTAAAAAATTCGAAGCATATTTTATGAGGAAAGAAATTTTTTCTTCACTTTTCAATGACATGAATACCAAGAAAGTAATTCAATAAGCCAAAATATATTATTTTAAATGTATTCTTCATGCTTTCTCTAAATCCATTCATCATTTTTGTATGTCATGTCATCTACATATAAGCTTTTAAAATGCTTTTTCATATCATCAACATAAAAGCAAAGAAATAAGATAATCATGGTCATGACTTACATAGTTACTAAGTTAATTAGTCTTTTCCTTAATTTTACTTGTAACTATATACATGATAGTCTTGCTATAAAAGGTTATCAATGTTTATTTAAATACATAAAATGCCTTCCTAAGCTTATTAAGTTTATTCTCCTTGTTTTCACTACACAAACTATAAGATGTTCAACAATTACCTTCTCTTCAAATTTTTCACTAAGAAAAATTGAAACGATATCTAATTGGAACTTACCTAATTGTTTTTTTTCTAGGCTATAAAGCCAAAATAGTTCTAATAGTATCACTTCAAATGACTACCACAAGTTTTAACATATCTTTTCATCGTCAACTAAGCTTTATTGCTTAATGTCCCATCATAATTAAGTTTGGGATTATAGACCCATTTATCCCAATTTCAATTAGAAAGTAAATCAACTGAATATTATGCATCATTTTTCTAGATTTAATGCATTTCTTCATTCATTGCTCTTGCCATTCTTGTTTTATTATTACAACTTTAAAATAACTTAATTTAGAGTAAAAAGAGCGAATTGATATGAGTTACAATATTTGTAATATTTTTAGTTTCTTAGAACAGAATCCAATAGGTGAAGTTGACATCCACTTAACATTTATTGATATCATAAAAACATTAAGTCTTGAAGAAAAATATTAAAATTTGAAGGAACGACTAATTTAGTTACCTAGTTTTTAGTATAAGGGTCTGTTTGAGGTGTAGGAAGCTGTTGAATAATAATCTGATGCTTAAAAAGCTGCGGTGGATATTTCAAATATTTTTTTTAAAATCAGCCACCACACTTATCCAAAAGTGCTGCGAAAATACAGATTTTAACAACAGTTTTTTGAAAAAGCTACCAAAATTCAATTTACCCAAGTAGACAAAACAGTTGTTCGGTGTCGCACAACTATTGTACCGCCGCCCCAAATGAAACCTTAATTTAAATTAAAAATATGATGTTAACATAAGAACTATTTTCGGATGATGTAATAAAAATATGTAACCCTTATTTTTTTCATAATAGCATATATAAATTTGTACTAGACATTTATGTCAACCAATCTTACTTTTTATCAATAAGTTTTAGAGCATA